CTCTGAGGGTAGCACACAGAACAGACTAAAAGAGACGCTCCTACCGCTTGCCTCCACCTCCCACTCCCACGACAGATCTAAGCAAGAACTCAGCAGTATTTTTTAAACTAACGATGGCACTGACAACGGCATTTGCGTGGACACGTGCTTTTATTTATCCTGGATGACTGTCTGGGAGGGGGTGACGGAACCACATGGCAGGGACGTGTTTCACTTTTTAAGAAACTGCTCAACTCTTCCAAAGTGGCCACACCTTCACATGCCCGCCAGCATGTACGAGGGCTCCCGTCCCGCCACGTCCTCACCGCCACTGAGTATGACCGGTCCTCCCACTTGTAGATGTAGATAACTGACAGACAGACAGATGGACGGAGAGATAAATACAGACAGATGGATGACAGTACAGTGGAATCTCTTCGCATTTCCCTGACGGCTCATTACAGTGACCATCTTTTCTGGTGCTTATTTGTATCTTCTCTGATGAAGTGTCTGCTCAAACCTTTGGCCTATTTTTTCAGTCTTTTGTCTCCTTATTATTGGCTAAAATTCCAGCAGGAACTCTGTGGTTCTCAGTAAGAGGAACCAAGGAAAGGTAGTAATTAAAATGATGCTGCACTGGCACAAGACTCAAAAGACACATCAAATGTACTAGACAGAGCGCCCAGAAGCACACCGTGCACACGTGGGAGCTTGGCCTGTGACAGCAGCCGCGCTAAAATCCAGCCAGAAGAGAGACACTGTTCCACAGATGGTGCTGGGACAGCTGGTTGTGCCAAACTCAGATCCTTCCCTCACACACATACAAAAATTAAATCACAGACGGATTTCATAGACGTTATCATCACTAAATTTTAAAATTATTACCCCTAATGAAATAACGGCACAAAGTAATCGCTATCAACAGCTGCTGACACCCCAGCCAGGAAACGCAGTTAGACTTCCAGGTGGACGTGTACACCACCTAGGATGTATTGGCACCAAAAATCTCAACCCTGAACCTGACCGCGCCTCTAGATT